ATAGTTATATACCTTCACCTCTGGAAGATGATTGATGAGATTACCCAATTATAGTACTTACAAAGGTTTATAAGCAAATTACACTTAACAGAATCTGAAAGGTAAGTTCAGTTAGGAATTACCTGTTTCCTCCAATAAGAATATGACACAGAACATGCTTGTTTTGTGTTTGTGCAGATGTGCCTAATCTAGGGTGAATGGACCCTGAAACACTTGTCTAGTAGAATCTAGAAAAGAGCCCCACAGCAAAAATTCCTACCCAGCCATGGGCACTGGTGCACCAACAAAAGCAAAATGAGCTCACGTACTCATTATTAGTCAAATCTTCTCAAACCACCCAGACGTTCCCTGGAGGGCTGTAAAAGTACTAACAACCATCTTGACCTCACCAACCAAATTCAGAAGGCAGATCTCCTGATCCTAAGGAAAACAAAAATGAACAGCCAGAAAAAAGATGGCTGCCACTCTGTAGGCCCATCAAAAATTGTACGCTAGGGAGGTGTGTAACTTCCATGTAGGAGGCTAAGCTAACCTCCCTCAAAGGTAAAAGGTGCTGCTTACATGTAGTCCCCTATGTTCTGGCACAGCCAAAGCCTGGGCCATGAAACCTCCCAGATGTTGAGATTAAAGTCTATGGTAGACATCCTTTCTCATTGTTTCCTAAAGAAAGTGACATTTCTTAACACTAATGCTTTCAGAAAAGTGTATATAGATTTTTTTTTTTTTTTTTTTTGCAGTACTGGAGATCAAACTCGAACCTTATGCATGCCAGACAGGAGCTTATGCTGCTGGGCCATCTCCCTGGCCTTAGAGATTCTTCCATTAATTTTTTTTTTCCTTTTTAAAATTAATTTTATTGAGAAACAAATAACAATGAGACAGTTTCAAAACTGATCAGTAGGACAGTTTCTTTTTTTTTTTTTTTTAGGTATAAACTTTTTTTTTTTTTTTAAAGTCAACAGAAAATGGAAATACACTTTTTAAAGTTTCTAATACTAGAAGATATCATACAATGTCTTTTAAATAAATCGTAGGTCAAAGATACGGTATAAATCTTAGAACAAAAATTAAGATTAAGCAATATTCAGAAAATTAAATGTTTCCAAACAATTGAACTCAGAAAAAGTTTTCATGATAGCAAAGAAGTACTAAGAATAAAACATAAGATAAATACTGGAATGGCAAGTAAATGACCAGCACTTCTAACAGTTTGAGGATAGGATATCGCACAAAGTTCTAGTGTGTTGTGGACATGCATAATGACCGTGACAGTTACTAGTGGCTAGGTGTCACTTGTGGAACTGAGCTACAGCTATTTCTTTGAAATGCACCCTGTAGACCCAGGTGAAATCATGACCCATAGGGTGGAAGAGAAGTACATTTGTAGGGTGTGCTGATGAAAATATTCTGCTGCTGAACACAAAGGAATAATTGCAAGACTACTATTGTATACCTCTTATTCTCCTCTGTTTAATTGTTTGCCCTATTTGGCAGGCTCTTTCCATTCTCATTCATGGGGCTTTTTTTTTTTTTTTTTTTGTATTTTAGTATAGGATCTACAGGGTCTCATTACACAGATCAGACTCATAGTGATCCTCCTGTTTTCAACCTCCCAAGCACTGGGATTACAGCTGGGCACCACCACACTCAGCCTCATTCACTGCCTCAGCGTGCTCCCAGTGTATAGCCAGCACGGCACACTGGGGATTGAACCCTAGTCCCTGTTCTATAGATTCTTTTAGCATGAAGAAATTCAAGGCAGTGAGAGCATGTTTTTTTGTTTGTTTTTGCTTAGATATTACTTTTCCTTCCAATCTCAAAATATAAAATGTCTGGGCTCACAGATGTGTCCTCCCTCAACTATCCTTACTCTCCACTTTGGGATATCACATTGTGACTAATTTCTTCTCTGTACTGAGGACATCCTTCTTTCCATCTCTTACCCCCTGTACTCTTACTTAATGTACAACAGGCAACTCAGATTCACAGTGTTCAAAACTAACTCTTGAATTTCACTCCTCCTCCCAGCCCCATTCCTCCAAGTCATCTCCATCTCAGTACATGCTGCAGGTCCAACCCCTGGATGTTTCTCAAGTCCTCACACCCCATCTATAATCTGTGAGCAAACGTTGCCAGTTCTATCTTCAAAACACACCCAAGCTTGACCATTTGCCAACACCATTATCACTGCCTCAGCCAACACCTCAATCTCATGCTTATATGACTCCAACTTCAACTGATTTTTTGCTTCCACTCTTCCCTCTCTCCAGTATATTTCAACACCGCAACCAGTGAGCTTTCTGCCTGCAACACTCCTCCCTCTGCTAGCCCTATTACAGATTCCCTCATTCCTTCAGATCCCTGCTTAACTATCCTAAGAAACCCTAATGAAAACAGCATTGACTATCCCCCAAACAAAACAGCATTGCCCTTGTTCTTCTCTGTGATGTTTCTTGTGGCCTTTACCTCCTAATATATTATATATGCCTTTATGTTTCCTACTAGATAGTTGCATGAGAGCAGGGGTGTCATGTCACCAATTTCTAGAAAAGCACACAGAAGCTGATTCATTCATTGCTAGGTTTACTGAGATGCAGTCATCTCAGATACTATTCAGTTCACACTTGTTATGAGTCCCCAGTTCCTTGATGACCTTAGAGAGGCCATGCACAGAAGAAAGCTTTCCTGATTCTTCTTTCTAAATTTATCACCTTTAAAAATTTCATAGCTTTTTAAGATCTACAGGTATAGGGATTCAATTGATGTAATTAAAATATATACTGTCCTTGAAAATATACAAAAGAAAATAATTAAGTGAAAATTATTCTTTACACACCAAGTTCTGCTCTAGTAAATGTACCTTTGCATGATATTTTTCATTTTTTCCCTTTGCATGTTGACAAACCATCACTACAGTCCTTCCTGATATTATCCCACTTTGGGAGAGGGTTGTGCTATGGTTTAGATGTCCCTAGCAAAACTCATATGAAAATGTAATGCTAGCTATGAGGCATGAAGAGGTGGGCCTAGGTAGGACCTTGAAAAGTTGATTACGTCAAGAGGTCTCTGCATTCAGGAATGGAATGATCCACTTACAGACTAACAGTTATCTCAACAGTGAGTCTGTCACAGATGTGACTTCAGCTCTGTTTTGGGTAGGGTGCCTCTCTTGCCACTTGATAGCCGCTAAAGGGTTCCAAGCAGCAAGAAAGCCTTTGCTACATAGGAGCCCTGACCTTGCACCTTCTACCCTCCAAAACTGTGGGCCAACAAACTTTTATTTTTTGTAAATTATCAGCCTGTGGTATTCAATTATAGCAACAGAAAATGAACTAAAACTGGTTAGCTGCTTTTAGAAAGATGGAACTGATTAAGAAAATATACACAAAGCTTCCAGAACACTGCCAGAGATAGGGTTAGTATTTTAGTTTTTGACTTGAGTATGGTTCTAATTGGTTATCTTATTACTTGCTTGAACTATACATTTATCTTCCATGTACTTTTCTCTAGGTGTGTTGTATTTAAAAAATTTTAGAGCAAATAAATAAAAGAATAGGGCTGGAGATACAGCTCAGTAGTATTGCACCTGCCTGCAAAGCACAAAGTTCTGAGTTCAAGTCCCTCCCCCCAAAAATAAAAGAGTCATAAAAGAGATAGCTAACTCACACTTTACTCTCCCTACAAAGAAGAGAGGGAGAGTGTCTTATCACCTACTTGAATGAGAAACTGCCTGACAAGATTAACTTCCATTTCGACTACTTCATCCATGAGAAAGTTCTTCATTGGACTAGGTCAAAATTCATTGCTCTAATTTCCTGTCTTGTTTTGTTTTACATTGTTGTTGTGTTTTGCTTGGGGTATGATCTCACTATGATGCCTAGACTAGCCTTAAATACTTGGACTCAAGCAATTGTCCTGCCTCAGCCTCCTGAGTAACTGGGACTATGTCATCAGGCCCAGCTCAACACTTGTAATTTCTACCAGTTTTTTCTTGGCACACCCTATGAAATGTCAGAAAGCAGCATAACTTATTGTGAAGACATAAAGCATTCAGCTCTTTAAAGGCAGTTGCTACTGTAAGCCCAAGTCTCCATAGTCATACTCCTACTAAATTACCCAAAGATGTCAGTTCCTGATTTCTTAAGACCAAAAATTATGTGATCTTTAATCTACCCAGTGCCTACATTATGTACAATCAAATCATTTCTCCAACATAAGAATAAAACCCAAGACTTTAATCAGTAGAACACAAAAGTCGAGACTAAGTACTGCCCCAGCATTCACTGCAGACACTATAATCCTTCGCTTCATCGCTGAAAACTGCTGAGCATTCTGAGACTATGTAAATATTTATAAACGATACACACTACCACAGAACCAATACAGTGAGCATATTAGAAAACATATACAAAGATAAATCATAAAAGGAGGAGATTTTACATAAAATATAAAGCACCTCTGGAGGGGGCTTGCCCTGCATCTCAGTGGGCATCTCTCACAGGTCCTGGGCTGTGAGCCTTCCCACTCTTTCATACTGCTGTCTGCACTTCTTACCCCAATTTCTCTCTTATCCAAGATAGTCTCATTTCCTTCCAAATATTGTTGTAGTTTTCCATCCTAGGAACTGTATTGTGTAAAAATGTTAAAGGAAGTGCCATGTATGTTGGCTCCCATCCCACCTAAAATCAGGGCACATGGTTTCAATTACCATGAAGACCTAATCTGTTACTCAGCCTTGAATGAGTCAGGTTCCTCTATGATAAAGAAAAAGCCCTACATTAAAAATGCATTCTGTCCTCCACTAATAAATTGCTATTATTTGTAAGAGAGGTGAATCATAGCAACATGGGTACAAGAATCAGAATTTTATGTCCATATAAAAAATACCTCTTAGTCAATAATAGGACAATAAATCAGAAACAGAATATTTTAAGTCCTTTCTCTTTTACTATCCTCACAAAAATATTTCATTAAAACTCTATTTGAAATCAAATACTTACATTCCCCAGTGTACTTTAATGGAACATGTCTTCTGCATTACACCAAATGCCTGCATTTCCTCTGTATCATCAAAGTAGGAATTCTGTAGTCCTAACCCTTCTGGCTCAGTAAATAAGTCAATTTGACTAATTCTGTAATCCTGAAAAAAATACACATATATAAAATACATCTATAATAACAGTTATACCAAGTATTTAAAGTTCATTATTCTTTATTCTTACAACAGATTAAAATAAATCTTAAGTATGTACATCTCACAGAGTACCTGCTATTTCAGCTCTTTCCGATTCATACTTATAACTTCATATTATGACTACCTGGGGGTAGGCATATTGCTTTTGTCAGTCATCTCAGAGTTACACTCAAACAAAGTGTAAAGATCATGAGAAATGTGCTTATTAGCATTTTGGAACATTTTTCTCTCACCTACCCTTGACTTCGTGATTACAGAAGTGCTGGCTCTGGGTTTGTGGTAACTATCCAAGCGCAGAGAAACTACAGAATGGCTGCACTGGAGTCTTCCTCAACTACTGTCAAGGTATTGCAAGGTTAAAAGGTATCATAACCATTAAAGACCACACAAAGTGAAGGGACAGGACACTTCATGATGCTGGGATTCAGATATTTTTTAAACACTATTTACTATTAATATTTGAACAATAAATAAAAATATAAGGAATGGGCTTGCGCATTAGCTCAGTTGTTTAAAGCGCCTGCTTGAGCAAATCCATATATATATGGAAAACATTTCACTGAGAACATTTTTTAAAAAGGTTCTGCATGTCTGTTATGGCATATTATGTACTTGAAACTATTAAAAGTCTAAATATTTAGAATACCAATTATTGGGGCTGGGGAGATGGCTCAGTAGAATAAGCATTTGCCTGGCAAGTGCAAGGGCCTGAGTTCAATCCCTGGTTCCACAAAAAAAAAAAAAAAAGAATGCCACTTATCATTTAAGACACTCAGAAATGTCGAACTAGGAAATAGCTGTTTTCCTCCGCTAAAAATTATTCTTGGGCTGGAGAGATGGCTCAGTGGAATAAGCGCTTCCCTGGCAAGAACAAGGGCCTGGGTTCAATCCCCAGTTCCAATAAATAAATAAATAAATAAATAAATAAATAAATAAATAAATAAAATAAAATAAAATAAAAAATTATTCTCACTCATTATAATTTAGAATTTTCCATTTCTCTTTTGCACTTCATGATATCTATTTTTATTATATAGCGTTGGATTTCAATTTTTCCCCTGGGAAGACACCATTAATGAGTTTTACAAATTTCATGAGCAACAATGAAAGATGTTGATATCATATTTCTCATCAATGAATAAGAAGCCAAGACATATTAATCGATAAAGTGGCTTCAAATATTTAAATTGTTTTTTAAATCTATATACAGCCTCAGAGCTCAACTATAAACTGACTTTGGATTATCTTTTCAAAACAGAACATCTGTAAACTACTCAAGGTAATCAGAAATCATACAGCAACCATAAAACTAAAGGAAAAAAATCTGTCCATAAAGAACTCATCACAGGATGGGGGATAGAGTAGTTTAGTGGCAGAGTACTTGCCTATATACATGAAGCCCTGGGTTCAATCTCTAGTGTTAAAAAACAAAACAAAACCTCAATTGTTAGGGTGAACTGAGCTGAAAATTAATCATACATGGGAGTGCAGTCAAGCTGCATCAATCTTAAAAAAACATCCTGCCTGGCCAATTTCAACCATTAGCTTCTAGGCAACCTTGATTCTAACTTTGCAAGAGTATACTGCTGTGGGGAGGGTCCTTTGCCTATTAGGCAGAGGCCTCTACCTAAACCTAGCTCTTGTCTATCTTTTCCTTACTCCTGCTGCCATTTCTCCTCAGGGTACACTGAGAGATCAAGGCATCTCTAAACTTAACGCAATCACGTTATTAAGTAAAGTACTTTTGGAGATGGGAATGGGGACCAGGAATAAAAGATTTACCTTGAAGATTTAGCTAACCAATTAAAAAATTATCTAACCAATTAGAATATCTAACCAATTAGAATGTATCTTTTCTAATTCTTTTAAGGTGTGCAAATGCTTGTTACAGAACATATATCCATAAAGTAACAAACATTTTCTCATTTATTTCATAAAACATAAAAATTTAAGAATCATTCTCAAAGTAAGAATCATTTCTGGAGCTTGTGAGATAGCTTAGTGGACTAAAGTGCCTGTTTAGGCAAGCTTAGGGATCACTGTTCAATCCTTGGCACCACATTCCATGCCAGTCCCACCTCCAGGGCAGGCTAAACCAGTCACAGAGTCTGGGCATTGTGGCGTACACCTATAATGCCCGTGCTGGGGAGGCTGAAAACAGGAGGAGCACTATGAGTTCAAGCTGCATAGTGAAATACTGCAACAACCATACATTAAAAAAAATTTAAAAAAAAAGAATCATTTCTCATAGTCAATAATATTTACTGAGTGAACAAAATCCAGATTTATTATCACCTACCTGGATCACATGTCTCATTGAGCCAATCACTACAGGCTTATCAGACTTTACTTCCTCATTTCCTTCCAAAGTCTCTTCTATATTCCAGAGCCCAGAGAGTTCTAATTCACCTTCTTCTAAGGGGATGGAATGCCCATCAAAATTTGGTTTCTCATATAAAATCCAACTAATAATAAAGCAACAAAACCATGAGTTAGTCTTGGTGAAAGGGGTTCTGATTCTCAAATATTTTGGCTAATAAACATACTATATTTCAGTAACCAATATTCAAATATTTTGGCTAATAAACTACTATATTTCAGTAACAAATCCTCTAGCAACTAAAATAACATGGAAGAAAAAAAATGTGGGCCAAGGAGATAGCTCAGTAGAATAAGCACCTGCCTGGCAAGTGTAAGCTCTCCAGTTCAATCCCTGGTACTGAAAAAAATAAATAAATAAATAAAATAACAAAGATTCTCTTTGAAACAAACTTTATTTGGTATAATTAAGCCTCTGATAATTCAACATCTTCGAGAACCTTTGGGTTATTGCTATAGATGTTACAGAGCTATCAATGTTCTATAAACTTGCCAGTTAGTAGAGACTTACAAATAAAATCAATGCTTATTTAATGTAGTGGGATTTTTTTTTCCTTACATGCATAAAAAATTTTTCTTAGAGGAATTTTAACTTACTTATTAGAGTCAAATCAATGGATATGCTGACCCAAAGGACTACATGCATGTTAATGGAAAATTTTTTGTTGTTGTTGCCTTTTTGAAGACTGGGGAGATAGCTCAAAAGTCTAAGTGCCTGCCTGGCAAGCGCAAGGACCCAGGTTTGAATCCTGATACAAGTAGCATGCCGTGCTGGCTCAAGAACCCCAGGCATGCTACTCCAGCCACCAAAACCAGGTGTGGCATCACACACCTACAATCCCAGCGTTGGGGAGGCTGAGATAGGAGGATCACTATGAGTCCAAGCTGTGTAATGAGACCCTGTACCAAATGAATAAATAAATAAAAGATTAAAAAAAAAAAAAAAGAAAGAAAGAAGAGATAGGGTCTCTGTATACAGTTTAGACTGCCATTGAGCTCACTTTGTAGCCCAGGCTGGTCTTGAACTCACAATGATCCTCCTGCCTCGCCTTGTAAGTGCTGGGATTACAGGTGTGTGCCACTATACCCAGGTTGGAAAGCATTTTGAAAATACTCTCCCCCAAAATGCCAAATATTAAGAAAATCCTCATGTTAATAATCAACAGTGTTGCTCTTAAATTTATGCTTATGTTTTGGTTCAGTTGTTTGATACAGGGGTTTTGCTACAGACCAGGTGGGCCTTGAACTCCCAGCAATGCTGCTTCCTCCCCCTCCTGAGGGCCGGAATGATGGCAGAAACTTCAGTGGTTTTTGCAGAACTGGGGATTGAACTCAGGCCCTTGTACTTTGCCAGGGAAGCGCTTATTCCACTGAGCCATCTCCCTGGCCCTATGCTTATATTTTGAAGGAAAGAAAAACCTGACAAAAGTTACAAAAGATTTTTAAAAACTTCTATTAAAAACAAAAATTTTTTAAAAAATTGTTATACAAAAATTTTAGTATAATTTTCAGTCTCCAAATTTATGAATGAAAGTACATTTTGCTAATGACTATTTTGAATATATATTAAAGTAGCTAAAAACCTACTATAAAAGATGTTGTATTTAATCAAATGGAGGCATCTACCCTCTTTATTTCAAAGAAGTTTATAACCAGACACCAAAGTATTTATACCAGATAAGTGGTTTTTTTAACTTGCTTTTCCTTATTTAACTTCCTATGCATTTCCAAGAGACAATTAAACTAGTAAACCAATTTTAGAAATTGTCAAAGTTTCTTTACTTAAAACAATCTTTTGTCAGAACACTGTAAATTTTAGGTTTTTACCGAAGTGTCATTTAAAAAGTTAGCAAAATGTCTTTCCTTGTTATTAAAGATACATCTAACATAGCAACATACAGTGCGATTCTTATCAAACTCAGTTAAAACTCATCAGCCACAAGTATAATATTGGCCCTAATTAATGCAAAGCAGTGTTATAAGGAAATATATGGGAAAAAGAAGTTTGAAAACCCCACTTTTCTGTTTTCCCTATCCTGAACATGTATCACTCCTATAAATGGAAACATCATTAAAATCTTATGTCAGGGGCTAGGGATTTAGCTCAGTGCTACAGCTTAAGGTCCTGCTACCTGCTTGTCAAGCTTAAGGTCCTGAGCTTGATTTCCAGCACATTCAAAAAAAATAAAATCAAATCCTATTTTATGCCAGCCCTGGTACATAGGTTTGCAAGCCCAGAATTTTGGGAGGCTAAGGCAGGAGGATCGCAAGTCTGAACACAGCCAAAGCAATTAACCAACTCAGTGACTCCATCTCTCAAATTAAAAAATGAGTTGGAGATCTAGCTCAATGCAAAGGCCCTCATAATCACAAATAATTTTTTTTTAATTTTAAGTATACATGTAAATTCTTCACCACAAGTAGTATTTTCTGCATTTTACACTGATAAAGGAATAATTATAAATAAATAAAACCAGGTAATTAAACACATACGTAAGTCAAAAACCTAAGCCATTACTCTTACCATCCTCTAACAACCTTTATGAGGACCACCGGAGAGAGCTTCCAAGAACTACAATCCTGAATGTCACCAAAAACTTCAATGTGCTTCTCAGAAACATCTGGTTCACTGAATATCACCACCTGTGAGAAAATGAAAGTAGCAGTACTTTACCATACTCTAACAGACCAAGATAAAACATAGACTAGAAATAGAAAACAATCTTACCTTCCCAGGTCTAGGATTGACTTTATTTTGAACACTTCCTCTAAGTGTCTGTAATCAAATGAATAAAAATATAACAATTACAACTTTATACAACAGTCTGCTTTACCTATGACCATCTAAATAAGATCACACTTACCTCATAATTTCTCATTTTTGAAATATGTCTACCCTACTTTATGTCAAAATTATATTAACACTGCCTTTAAGTTTATGCTATTAAAGACTATTTCCCCCACCAACTTAATTTGTCATTTCAATTTCTTCACACATTTAAATATATAAGGTATTTCTACTAATGCTAGAAAACTCAAGAGTCCAAAAGTCAGACCTAGGTTGTATGTCAACACAATAAGAATAAAGATATTGTAATTCAAATAATCTTACTATAATCTCAAATACATAAGAGAAATTAGGTCTGAATCACTTATCTAACAAAGATCTGAGTCAATTTTATGTGTTTATGTACACATCCTGAGTTTGTAAATATTGTGTTTTCATAGTAACACCTACTGTCACATAAACAACTACCAGTCTAACTAAAATTATGTATGGTATATATCACAATGTACATTGCACATGGTGTATTTAGTGTCTCCTTTTGATGGACAGAATACCTTTTTATATGGCTTCAAAACTAATCATTTTTGAAGACCATCTGACAAGACCAGTAAAACCAGAAATGCATAACATAATAAAATAATAATTATACACATAAAAATATTACAAAACATGGACTACTTTCAATGTTAACCAGGATGCCTCTTCTGAGGTCTGCTTTGATCTGATACCTCTTGCATCATACCAGAGTGGAATATACTCATAAGACCAGAGGAAGGCCCTACAGAGCAATATTAGAAATCAACATGGCATATACTTACTATATATATATGTATATGTGTGTACGTATGCATGTATATGTTTATATATATGGATATATATACTAGGAGTACATAAACTGAAGGAAAAGCCTAAATATTTAATAAAATTCAGTAAAGCATTAAAGATAGAACTGTCACAGAACCCACAAAGCTAGGTCCTAAAGAAAGATAAGTTTAAAAAAAAAATCATAAAAAAGATCTGGAAAAAAAGCATTGTGTTTTTACTTTTTACTCCAACTGACCTGATTTTTATATAGGAAACTGTATACTATTTCAGGTTTGTTGGATTAATTAAAAAGAACAAAGTTACAATGAAGGGCAAGTGGACCAGCAGAAACTATTGGAGAGAAAGAAGAATCTGATGATTATAGGCAGGTGTAGCTTTCCATGTATGACCCAGATGTCCTGGAGGGGCCCCAAGGCCCTTTCAGAATGTCCATGAGGCTAACACTATTTTGATAATAAGGAGAGGTTATCTGTCCTTTCTTTCTTTCTCTCACAAATACACAGAAGAGTCAAGCTCCATTACATGAGATGATGTCACTGCTCTGAAGACCAGTATTTTCTTGTGTTTCAAATACTACCCAATGTTCAGTGATAATACAACAACTTTTGGTGGGCATAACCTATACAAATAAAAGCTCTTTGAGACTGTCAACAATTTTAAAATGTAAACAAGTCCTAAAACCAAAATGGAAATGCACTGGTTTGCATAGTCACATGAAAAGGGGAATCTGCACAGCAGTTAGGAACTTTACTGTACATATTGCAAGAGCTTCCAGAATCCCATTCAATGATAGGACTGCAGCAAAACAACACAACACTCTGAAACATGCTGCAGGGTCCTAGCCAGAGGAGGACAGAAACAAGGGATTCCCTATTCATCATAATCCTATGCTTGTCAAGTTGCTGGCTCACAGGGTAGGCTACCAGAATTTAAGCTCCACTCACGTTTCTAGGCAAAGAAAGATGAGCTGTAACCCTGATACTTTGTCTTCCTCATTCACTGTTCTTGCTCAGGTTGAATATCAAGCTTGGGAACAGAACGGCACAAATTCGAATGAAAAATTTGTAAGGAAAACAACTTCTTGGCTGGGTGTGTTGCTAAGTGATAGAGTGCACGTAACATGCACAAGGCCCTGAGTTCAACCACCAGTACCATAAAACGAAACAAACCAAAAAACCAAACGAGGTAAACCTCTGACAATTAGATAAAAGATGACAGAAAAATCACTGTCCTAAGTACTGTATTTTGTGACCCTCACTATAATAGTAAAGGAAAACTCCAAGGTAAACTGAAAGTTTTTATGCCTCTAAACTTTGCAGGAAAAAAACTTCAATGAAAACTAACTCCTAGTTTTCAGAAAATTCTTAGTTAACAGAAAATTCTTTCTTAGATGGATGGGATAAACATCCTTATGAATAACGGGTGAAACCTCATAGTATGAAAGAAGAACATAAGAACATTTCTTTGCTGGGAGGGGCCCCGCCAAATAGAGGAAGCAGCTTTGCAAATGTACAAAATTCTAAGTACAAAGAGAAGGGAAGCGAAGTATCATATCTCTGTCTCAACTCTCATCTATACTTTTCATGTGAATTCACATATACTTTAAAATATGTAGCTCATTCTCCCTAATGACCACAAATGTCTTGAGAAGTCTGAAACCTTTTTGCTCAATCCTTTGTATACAGGTCTTGCAAATCTGAATACAAAAATATCACATACAAGCATAACTATTTCTAAAGAATAATATGAAGTGCTCGCCACTCTCTTCACGCCTAGCCTTATAAATATTCTAAATGACACCATATTGGTACTTACCGTTCCATCTGATAATGACATCGCCGAAAAAGAGATGCCTGGATCATACAGACTTGATTTGAAGAGACCCGTGAAATCAGCGTCACTGTTTCCAAGGTTTGGTGAATTTGACTTAAGAGCACTTTCAATACTAGTTTTTTCCATTTCATCACTGTTCTTGAGTTTAGAAAATTTAGTTTCTGGCAAGTGCAGGTTGCTTCGTGAATTCAGATCATCTTTGGGTTCTTCCTTTTGCAGGTATTTTTCCATGTGGCTTGGACTTTTCAAATTTGAATGAGATGTCGTTAATGAGTTGAAATTGAAGACCTTTAAGGAGTTGTGGGGCAGAAGATTCGGCTGTTCTTTGTCAGAGCCACTGGGCAGAGCACCCTCAGTCATGGGCTGTCCCACTGAAGTCAGAGATGGGGAACTATTCTGAGAAGTGCTGAAGGACGTGGTCATAGTTTTGACTGATGTCACAGAGGGAGAAAATATTTTGTCTTGTGGTAAAGAAGATAAAATGCTTGAGAAAAGTGCACTTTTTTCTAGTCTTGACCTTTTAATTCCACCATTGATGACATCCCTGTTCTCTTTGTCATTTATCTCTGGAGTCACCCGAGATTCACTTTTCCCATTAGTGTTAGAGTGCATGGACTTAAAGAGGAGACTGTGTTCAGTGGATGCACGTTTGGGTCTTAGTTTGGATTTGGGGTCCAGACTCTGCATCAGATGTAAAGCTGGTGACATTTCTTGCTGACTTTCCTTCTTCCCTAAACCAATAGTGAACACGTTGGGATCAAACACCTTTTCTAAATTGTCCTCATGAATGGGAGGCATGGCAAAATGAGGGGCAGAAGAGTTTGGTGTTCTGGCCCTTTTCTTCTTCTGAGGCACACAAACTGCACTGTCCATCTTTTTTATAATTTCAGTAAATTTTTCCATATCAGAAGAAGAATCAAATACACTATCGTCACTACCAGCAGAGACATTCAAAATACTAACTGGAGTATCCTGGCCATTTACAACATTCTTATCTGGCCTTTGAGGAGTTTCTGAATAAATTCTGCTGCTTGGAGAGTTAATGGGGCTAGATTCAGCCATTGGGGGTATTTGGCTGCCCTCACTTTGAGTCTGGATAGGCAGAGCTTTCTTGGATTCAGGTGGCATGACTTGTGGGCCAGACTTTGCAATTTCTTCTTCTTTGCAACAAGTGTGTTTGGCTGATGTGCCTGAATCACCCAGTACTTCCTCTTGCGGGGGAGTACAACTTGCAACGGAAACCACCTCAAGCTCATTATTGTGACAACTTGGCAACTGCACTTCTCTAACTTCAGAGCTTTCTGAGATGATCTGGGAACTCATATCCTGGGTGCTCTCCACTGGTAGTACAAAAGACCTGACTTGGACAAGGATCTTGGAAGGACAATCATTTCCCCCAGCTTCTGGGCTGTTCTCTGGGGACAATGGAAAGTTTGCTTCTCCTCCTCCTCCTCCTCCAACTTTGGAGAGTGGCATTTTCTCACTATGATGAGATGCAGACAAAATACATCCATTATGATTTTCTGATGCTTTTAGATCAGTGCATGGAAAGCTGCTCATGGGAGCTGGAACACATACATTTTTGGGAACAACCACAGGAATGGGAACAGGCAATGAAGAAGAAAGCCCCTTAGATGACTCAACTGGGGGTTTCAATTCAGAAAATGTATCTTGTGGCTTTGGAGAGAGATCTTTGGTATCACCACGAGAGGGGACATCTTGTGTTGTATCAACCAGATTTTCAAGTACAAGTCTTTCGCTGTCAACTGCCTCAGGGTCATTTAAGAGCTTCTGGTCCTGGATAGGAATCTGAGCAGTAGCCACTGGCTCTGATGAGCAGCTACCATCTTTTGTATCATCCTGGTTGGGCTGATTATTGGAAACTTGACCCTCCATGGGCTCGCCTTCCTTTTGTCTGGGTGCTAGGAGAATCTCTTCTTCAGGAAGAGGAACTTTGGTTTCTGCAGATGCTTCCTTCACCAGGACACCATTCTGGTGACTGTTTGTTACCACTTTCTTTTCTGGTTGCTCCATTTCCTTGGCTTTTTTGGCTAAATTCAGCTTTGCCCTCCCAACAAATGTCTTATTGGAGGTAGGAATGTTCCTTGTTCCTCGAACCTCAGAGTGTCTTGGGCTATTATTTACCCGTTTGTTTTCAAATAAGGAGATTTTGGTGGCAGTGTTTCCCTTATGAACTGGCTGGCTAAATGGATTGTGCTCATTTCCAAAACTATCAGAATTCTTAGAAGTTTTAAGATTTAGTTCCACATGCTTGGGTTTGGCAGGTCTGCAAGGAAAAAACAAGACAATTAATGATCTAGTTTTAAAAAGTTAATACACAAATGTATTAGAACACTATGAAAAGCCAACATCTTCCTTATATATGAAACATTTTAGACCATCTTAAATACATTATCAAGTATTTTAATGGATTTTGGGTTTGCATATGAGGAATGATTAAGTTTTATAGCTAAGCAAAGGAAAGTGAGTGGCTAACAAGTTTCTAAAGCACTCAAATACATACACACACATATACACACAGTGCTTGATGCTATAGGAGGAAGAGATCATAGGATCTCAACATTAGAATTTAAATATTTAATATGTTTTCATATTTTACATTAATTATGTTTTTTTATTTTACTGTACCTTTTAAAAAGTTTATCTTTTTTTCTTTTTTAAGACAAGATCTTTGTTTGTAGTTCAGACTGGCCTTAAACTTGCTATGTAACCCAGGTTGGCCTTGAACTTGCAGTGATCTATCTCAGCCTCTCCAGTGCTGGGATTACAGGTTTGTAACACCACATCTTGATTTTTTATTTTTATTTATTTATTTTTTAAGGCAGGATCTCACTATGTAGTGGAGGCTGGCCTTGAACTCACACTCAAGGTGACCCTCCTGCCTCAGCCTCAGCCTCAGCCTCAGCCCAAGCGGTAGGATTACAGTTATGTGCCACCATGCCAGCTCTAAAAAAGCCATCTTAAAAAGCTAAATTACAAAATAATTCATGTATTTTTGAGTTCTTTAGATACTTTGTTCCTATCATCCTTTCCACATAAGATTTTCTTGATTATAAGTGCATCTACTGTGCACTAACTGTACTTTTTTCTTTTTTAAAACAATGACAGAGTATTGTCAAGTTGCTCAAGCTGGCCCCAAACTTGGGATCCTCCTAGCTCAGCTTGTGGAATTGGTGGGATTATAGAATATGCACTATCATGTCAGGCAGATAAATATTTTTTAAATCACTCATAATCCTACTTCTTAGAGAATATTTCCATTATTATTTTGGCTCATTTCCAGTCTTTTTATATGCATAAATATCTTAATAGAATTGACATTTTTCTATTATTAGGGTTTAGTATCTTGCCTTTAAAAAATAAAGCTTACTTAACCTTACATTTAAAAAACTTTAAGTTACTAAAAATTTTTTGCAAAGTTTCAATGTATACATAAAATTCCACTGTATGTTTGTATACAATTTACTACTAAATTATTCAATTGTTGATTTTGTAACAACTAAGGTAAAGAGAGGATCCTCTGTCACACTTCTTGGGTATAACTGCTCTCTAATAAAAATAATGGCTTTAAGTGTACACAGCACTTTCTTTCATAGGAACAAAATGTGCCCTGTTTGGCACTGGCTGGCCACTGGCCCTGGGCCCTGGGCCTTGGCTCTCACACATTAATTATCTGTCTGAACGTGGTCAAACTGCTTTACCTCTCTGGCATCTACCTTCTCTCTATATAAAAAATAAATAGTTTAGTTGTTTTTATTTCCCTCCAACTTACATTTACAGAAACCTTGCTGTGGCTGGGAATATTACGGACTGCAAGATGAAACTGCCTACCTCTTTTCAACAAGTATCACTCCCACTTAGCTATTTCTATCATTTCCATACGAGCTTTCCTGAAAGGGTTCCAAAGCTTTACTTTAAATAAAGTTGGTCTAAAATAAATAAATAAAAAATAAAGTTGTCCTAACAGCTTATAAAATGGTAGAGATAAATAAAAGCCACTAATCGTCACTTAGAGTCAAGGGCTAACCATTCGATAAATGCTTTACCTAATATACAAATTTGTACATTCTATTCTAAGGGGAGGAAGTTGAGGCTTAGAGAAAGTAATATGCTGAGGTCACACGGTAAGTGACAGGGCCAAGAGCTGAAGGAGGTGCTGTGGTCTCAGACACCATGCTCCTGCCTAGTGTACTCTTCTACTTCCCTACTCACAGTAAGAGACTTGCCTGACTGAGCTCCTCTGATTTTTTCCATCTTTATTCCTTAAGAGCTCAATGAATTATCAGATTTCCATTAGGCAAGGCAATCAGATTTTAAAGCCACTTGATAACGATACCACAAAGATAGAGAAGCATAAAAATCTCAGTCTCTCACATGGACTCCATCTTGAATAAAGTTGGGCCTGTGGAGCCTCTGGAAGGAACAAGCAGCAAAACTTGTGGGGCAAATGAAAGCCTGGGCTAGATGCCATCAGCTTCTTCACAAATGAAAATTTAGATTTTCATCTTTTAAGTTTTTATTTAAATATTGAGTTTAACACACACTATAAATTTTACCAGACACTGCTGTTCCCTTCCATTTTTAAAATATCTAGACTCCCTTATCATAGGCCCATATATTAAATTTTAAAAATACATTAATTTATAAACCTGTACTTAAAGATTAAATTCTAAAACCAGCAAGCCAGAAATGGTGAGCTGACAAATGCTGTACCAATTTATGAAAGATAGTTACATACTGTGGAATACACTTTTAAAAGTTCTCCCCAATCAGCTCAAGGAACATCATTCAAGTCAATTCATCAAGTAACAAAGTAAATCTTAAGACATAATGAAAAATACTACAGTTTAGCCAGCAGCTACCTTTTAGATAGGAAACACATCTGCAGATTAAAGATCAGTACCAAGATCAAAATACCTTTTACAATCAAACTTTCTGTGCTTTTAAGTGCTCCTACCGAGAGTCACTGCAATTAACCTTGTTGAGACTGATTAAAAGGAAGGTTCCTATAACTTCTGTTGCAATGCCTTCATTATATTAATACGAGAGTGGGGAAAAGAATCTGGAATATAGAGAGTCAAAGGTATGTAACAGGAAAACTCTATTTTAAATATATCGTTTTAAGAATTTCCAAATGACGGTATTTAGCACAGAACATGAAAAAAAGATTTTTCTAATAGCATAAAGAAACAAGCAGCTTCATGGTCAAGCTGCTGTAGGTTGGCAGCTGGTGAGATTGCTCATGTTATTCATTAAGCACATTTTCCTCAAGTGTTTACCAAACATACTTCCCACTCCAAATCTTACTTCTCCAAGGAACCAAACAATGAAATCCATTCAGTTCAAGAAGGATAATGCTGCACAAATACCAGCTCTTTTAATAAATGTGTGAATGAAGGAAAAAATTGGGGCACTTAACTCATTTTTCACCTGTGCTAACTGGAAAGGGGTGAGGCAGGGGAACAGAAGTGGACAAGTTTTATAGCCCTATCTTATCCACCTATGGAAATCACACTTCATCAAGGCCCAAAGCCCCAGCTTCTCCAAAGCCAATAGTGATTTCTTACTCCCCTACACTTTTGATTAGTCTGTTAACTGAGTACAAGCAACAGCCGTGAATGAACATTCCAAGGAAAACACACTGAACTGCACTTGCAGGGCCTTCCCCCCATAATGCCTAGAACAATACCATGAGTAAAAGTACTCAAGAAATATTTGTAAAATCACTAAAATTAACAGCACATAGTTTTTGTGCCCTTTAACTTAGCCAATAATTTCCGAATAAAAACATGTATCTTTTCTTCAATACTAAAAGCTGACTTTTAGCCTGGGAGCAAAAATAACAGCATGTTTCCTAACATTATAGAGGGAACTAACCAACCAAATACTTGTATTGGGAACTCTGTAAAAAAATTTTAAGACAATCATGTACTACGTTCCTAAGAGGGTTTGTGTATTCCGTTAGACTCACCCACATCACTGATCCTGGGTCACACTGAACATACCACTGTTTGCTTCTTGTGTGTTTTAAGAATGTCTTATCCTGAATCACGTATGGACATGTTTCTTTGACTAAACTACAGATTAGCTAATGTCAAGCCATTAAGTCTTATCTGTTATTTATGTAAACATTGAGCCTTAAGGATTTTTCTACTTTTACCATCATTCACCTAATATCTTAAGTAAAAACAAGAATTAACCCTTAAACTGCCAAATGTTATCTTCTTGAACTTTAACTGGACAATCTGGGTTCTTCACTCGCTTAAATTCAACACATAAAATACAGAACACAGACAGTTCCACAAATTCGACAACCCTGAGCCTTTCGCCGAGGCACCCCTGCGCGTCTGTGGACAGGCAACTCTGGTTGGACCAACTCCACAGCTACTTACAAGGTCACTTTGGTGGTCACCGTCGACCTGCCCACACCGAAATGGTTCCTGGGCTTCAAGCTGTCAGTCTCAGAAGTTCCAGCCGACCTGCCCAGCTCTTTGCTTCGGCCTCCCTCCCCCCGGCCATCGAAGTGGTTGGGGACAGGGCCCCTCTTGTGCTCAGGTCTGACCTCGGGCAGCAGCGAGCTGCTCTTGACCGTGAGCTCACGAGGGATGACCCGGGCCGCTTCCTCCCCACTGTCTGCCGCGGCGCCCTTAGCGTTCGCGCCGGGTTCGGGCGCTCTCTTGGGTGGCGATTCTTTGGCGGGAGCCCGCGGGCCGCTTGCTGGCGGGCTGGGCACCGGCTCCGAGGCGCGACTCCGGCCCTTCCTCTTGGTGGGGGACGAGGTAGGGGGCGGCTGTTTGGCGCGATCTGACTCCCCGCGGAGCTGGCCTTTGGGGCCGGGCTTGGACTCTGAGCTGGGCGCGGAGGCAACGCCCCCGTCGAGGGCTGCCCGCGGAGATTTCACTTTCTTTTCAGTTGAGAAGTTTGGCGCCACCTCGTCGTCGAACACCGCGTCGTCCCGGGATGGGCTCTCGGGCAGCGCGGCGTCGGCGCCGGGGGAGTCGGTGGACTTCTGCGACTTCCTCCGCCTGCCCGCCCTGCGACCGCTTGCCCTCTTTTCCATGTCGTCGGAATCTCCGCAATCTTCTCCCTCAGGTGTAACTACAACCGGCTCGTCCACCTGTCCCACCTCAGTCTTTCTCAAGTAGATGTCCAAAGTTAACACTTTGGCGGGGTGGGCGTGCTCGCTGCGCCGGGCTGCTGTGCCGCTAGTCTCCTGGGAGCCGGCCCTGCTCTCCGCGCCCAGGGCGGGAGGGTCGTGTGGCTGAGCGGAGGCGTCCTCAGGGGGCTGGCCGCACGAGTCCAGCGGCCGCAGAACGCTCCCTTCAGGAGTCACAGGCCCGCTGGGGGCCTCGCCTAGTTCTGGCCCAGTGGGCAACCCCGGCGCACCCCGCGCGGCCTCTCGTTCAGGGCCAGCGCCTGGCGCTGCGTCCTCCCCCACACTGCAGGCGGGCGGATCCGCGTTCTCTCGCCTGGAGGAATTCCCAGGTGAGGAATGCAGCTGCTTGGCAGCGGTGGTGACATCTGGGAAGGTCTCTCCTTCTGCCTGCAGAGGTTCTAATTGGGGTGAATCACTTTCAGGGCACTGCTGCTCCACCGCGGCTCTGCTGCTAGACGCCGGCGATTGCTCGGCGTCCGCGGAGGTTGCCTGGATACGGGTAGCCTCGGCCTTGGCCTCAGCCTCCCCGGGTTGCTCCAGGTGGGAACACACCTCGCTCGCGCTCGTGTCCGTTTGCTTGGGTTGGCTGCTCGGAATTTTGCTTTTCTCACTCTCTCTTTCAGGAAGCTTGGAAGAGGTTCCATCTTTGGGGGAGAACGATTTGGCGTTTGAGCTGGTGGGACTGGGGCTCTCTATCCCGTTTCTGGTGTTCCTTCTCCTTCCAGCTGTAAACAGAGTGCCAAGTTTCCCCAAAACTGGTTTCCTCCGGTTGTCTTCTGGTGGTTGTGCTCTGGACTGGAAAATAAAAGGGGATGGAGAAAGAAATTATGAGAATCCAGGTTTCCCCCCTTTAGTAGCATATTTTAGTACTGCAAGCGAAAATGGTAATAGATCATGTTCTTTCCAACAAAAACTCTGGCTTTAAAGATTGTCACTACATAGCACAGTATCGCCTTTAATTATCACTAAGTGTTTAAAGATCCAAATAACTACTTATACAAAACAAGCAATTCCCGGTTCTTGCTAGTATCTGCTTTTGACACCTCAATAAAGTTGAAATTTCAAAACAATCATGTCTGATTACAGGACACGGTATTATTTCCCTGACACAACGCCCTTTCTAGAACGGATGGGGAAGAGAAAAAAACACGAGAAGCCTTCCGAAGAACTTTGGGAAACCATCTGGTTTCACAAGCGTGCAAAATAAAAACAACAAAAAGTGAAGGAAGCAGCACCTGGCGGGCCACGCAGCGGAGCGCACCTCCAATGGGAGAGGCGCGCGGGCTTTCAAACACCGGAGCGCCCCAACCGCCCCGCCTCTTCCGGCTCCTGGGGCGGGACGGGGGGTGGGGGTGTTCGTCTCGCTTTTTGAAGAGAACAGAAGGAAGCACGAAGCTGGGTCTGCGTCACGCTCCGCCCGCCCTCACAGGGCTCCAGAGGCGCACTGGCCTGACCACGGGACCTGCGGTCTCACTGGGCGTACCCGTCCCGAAAAGGGAAAAAAAAACCCTGCGATTCCTAATGTGCCTGGAGCAAAACGGTCCGCACCAGGTGCTGCCCCTGAAGCCAGGAAGGCGCTTGGAACCTGTATAAAAACGCCAAAGGGCGCTGCAAGGAGGAGGGGATGGAGCCGGGGGTGGGGTGTCTTGGCTGAACCTGGATCCCTGCAGACGCCCGACCTTTGGGTGTGGCCAACAGTCATTTTAGACAGCGCTCGCTCTCCAAACCGGGTGTTTGCTAGAGCCCAGCAGACCAGAAAGGAAGCTGGGAGACTGAGACTGAAGCAACTATGTTTTGTAGGGGCTAAGTCAGGTTTCAAACTTATGTCCCAATTCCACTTCATGCTTGTTTTTTGTTTTTTGGTTTTCAGTATCTGGGATGAACTCAGGAACTTGCGCGTGCCAGGCAGGCGCTTATGCCGCTGAGCAATTTCCCTGGCCCAATTCATGCTTCTTCGAAGCCCGAGCTGCAGGACCCACAGCCAGTACCCGCAAACCCCAGTTGGCCCAGAGGAGCAGACACCATGTCACACATCCGAGTCAGTACATGAGAAAGTGCTCTGCAACCAGATTTACTAACAAACTCCAGGTGATGCTTTTAGCTTGAAAGGCTTTTGGTGGGAACTTTGGAACTAGAGATGCTTGCTGCTTAGCAGGCAGGTTAATGTCTGTGCAGCCACCGGGTGCTTTTGTGACTTAGGCCAGAGCCTTCTAAAATCTACCAGATTTTAGTTGAGTCAATGCTTCAGTGGTTCTATAACCAACAGGAAAAATTCGGTATGATTTAAGAAAATAATACATTAAAATATTCTGACTCGCTAAGGAAACATCTGGATTCTTTCATGAGTCAGTGGTATTACAGAATATGTTTTGTTTGTGTGTTTGTTTTGGTTCTTTGGTGACAATCTCACACTATCTAGTCCAGGCTGGCCTTGACCTCGATATATAAACTCAAATGGCCTCGAACTCAGGATCTTCCTGCTTCATCCTCCTTACTGCTGGGATTATCTATGTGTGTGCCCACCACATCTGGCTTGTACAAGACTTTTTAATCATAATACATGCTTACTGTGCCATCTTTATGACACTGAGTGACTTATGAAGCTTTTCATTTTATCCTCCCAGCAGCCCTTAAGGCAGGTAATCTCTTTGTGCCTGTCTGCCAAGGTGACTCATCCCTGCCCAAGCTCCATAGCCAGTACAGTCTGACTCTGAACTTAGGGCTGTCTGTCTCCACTGCCTGGACAGGCCATCCAACATGTCCTGAAGAAGTAGCCAGGGAAAATAGGTTTGCGTGTATTGATTCAGTTCCAGTCCTTGTCAAAATAAAACAACTGTATCATCTTGTCCTACCAATGAAGTTGCAGTGTTTTCCCCGTGCCATAAAGATGCCCAATCAGCAGTCCTCTCTGCTATTTCACATTTATTTACCTATTTCACATTTGACAATAATTAGTTTTTACAAAACCAGTTACTTGCTCTTCAACTTCGCTAACAAGTACTTGATCACCCCCATATAGCCTATTTTATCAATTTCTAGACTGTTCAATCCCCTAGAATTTATTATACACACATAGCAACTTGTTCATAGAAACTTTATTCATTCTAGCCCCCAAACTGAAAACAAGTCAAATGCCCTTCAAAGAGTGAATGCATAAATAAATTGTGGTACACTTGCACACAAAAAAATACTCCTCAGCAATAAGAAGAAACAAAGTTTTGAAACATGGAGTAACCTGAATGAATCTCAAAGGATTAGGCCAGCTGTTAGAAGGCACACTCAAATGGTTATATTTAGTAATGTGGCATTTATATGACATTAGAGACAATGTAGATCTAACAAAATATAGCTATAAGGTAGATCAGTCATTTCCTGAGGGGAGAGGGTGGAAGAAGGAGGGACTGCCACTGAAAAGAGACCTAAAGGAATTCTGGGGTATAACGCAAATTTCTCCATCTTGATTGTAGTGATGGCTCCACATTTGTGCCTGTCTTTTAAAAATCTCATCAAACTATACACTTAAATGAGTATCTGACCAGATGCCTTGGCACTTGCCTGTACTTTCAGGTACTCAGGAAGTTGAACCAGGAGGATTACTTGAACCCAAGAGTCCAAGACCAACCTAAAGAGATCCCATCTCTAAAATTTTTCAAAAACCAAACTGCTCTCGGATAGAAGATTGTTCAAAAAGAAAGGGGTGGTGAATGAAGGCAGGAAAAGGAATGTTATGGGACTGTCCTGCTTTAAGGTTGTATATGGTTAGCTTTTTGGACTTACATGTAAACATAAGAATTATATAATTCTTTACGCCCATTTTTAAAATATATTCTAATTTTTAATTTTTTTTCATCATATTCTGTAGGGACTTAAAGTTAAACATATCAATACTTGATGAAAAACACCTGTTCCATGTTATGCCTAAGATGTTTGATATTCAGACAGATAGTGAGGTTAAGCTTAACAGCCTAGGTTGTATGGTGCTAACAATAAACTTCTCTTCTGGAGGGTGAACAACCTGTTTGTAGACCAAAATTAGAGAAAAAGGGCCGCAAGGAAAGCCAACATTTTGGCCCTAAGCTTACAAGGTCAATTAAGACTCAGGACATATGAGAACTTGTACTATAATGTCACGGAACTTGGTAGTGTCCCAAATTTTCTGATCAAGGAGATTATGGGGCCAAAGAGGAAAGTGATCGATGATGTAGAGTGTACCTAAGGAGAGTCACATGGAGAAAAAACATTCTCTCAGGCTTTCACAGAGAGCACATTGGCCAAGCCATGGCTGTGACTCATCCACATGGCTGATACTGACAAAGGATCTACAATCTGAGGTACAGGATCTCAGGATAAATCCTGAGGGGATTTCACTGACCTTATCAGACCCAAAAGCTACAACTATTGTTGAATAGGTCTTGCTTTATCTTGGTCTTAACCGTCCAGCAAAAAAGTATAAAAACGAAGTATAAGAAGTAAAGCCATGCTGTTATGTTGAGCTGTAGGGGACTCAGATGAACAATTTCTGACATTGCCAGTGAAGCTGACGACCCAATACTATTATGGACTACTGGACTCTTTTAGAATATTTTGCTAAGTTAACACACCTATAATAGTCAAATAACAGAACTTAACAAAAAAAGGGGATAAGATGAATGTCCACTTTGTATCTGTGTATTCAGAGTGGTTGGGATAGATATATAGTTACATTCTCTTAATGAATAGAGGGATTTGTTCTAATAGTGTTTATAAGTAGGATATCACATTAGCATCCTGTATAGCACTTAACCACTAGGAAGAATGTATACAATGTGTTAATTATTGAAATTGTCCTACCAATTTGGTTTGAAACAGTCTCATTGCTATTTGTTTCTCAATAAAATTGTGGAAAAAAGAAAAAAAAACTGCATGGGAAATACTTCAAAGAATCAACAATGGGGATCTCATCTTTTTGAAAAGTGTCTGCACTTTAAAAGAAATCTCCAACAGAGTAAAAAAGAAAAAAGAAAAACCTCTTGAACTGAGAAAAAATTATAGCTGACTGTCCCTCTGACAAAGGCCTTCTATTTAGAACATATAAATAATTAAAATCTTTACTTAATTTTACTTTAAAATAAAAGACC